ATAGATGGGATTCGTGGTAAATTCAACCGCATATTAGGTATAATAGTGATATTTATTAAGTGGAAAATTTTTTAAAATTCCAATCGGAGAATCATCATAGCATTTAGTAGATTACCTCATTTCAAGCTGATAAATCTCATATGTAACAACAACTGTTTAATATTCAGAAGAATCGAGTGGTATTAAATCACAAAATTCAAATACACTGTCTACATTTAAAGGAAGTTCGTGTGAACTGTAAAAGTTTATAGTTACAACTATACAAGAGGGAAATTTGGATGTCTATGTTTTTGTACATCAAACTAAGTGACCAATTTAAAGATGAACAGGACGAGAGGGGGAATATAAGTACGATTTCCTAGTCACTTAGAAATGTCTAGAATTTCATGTTACTACTGATGCTTCAATCAAAACAAACAGATGGAAATCTTCGATTTTTAAAAAAACAAAACAGTTTAATATTGTTTCAATCATGCTTTCATGATGAATATTGTATCTATTACTAATTTAAAAAGTACGTAACTCGAATCCGTAATAATTAGGTCATTCTCATCAATTCATTTCAGTAACAAGATACACTGACTTCCTTTAGGACTCAAATTTCCATTAGTTAATTACTATTATTATTATGCTAACAGTAATTATTTATATTCCAACTGGCCGTAACTCACTGAAGTAAATAAGTAAAATGAATCCCATTCAAAATATTAGCACATAGTTGTAGTGGAAGAATTTATTAATTGTACTTTTTTACCATTGAAATAAACACTTGGTTAGATTATTCACTTCTTTGTACATTAAAAAATATAAACTTTTAGGTTATTTGTGAATTTGACCTTCGCAATTTGAAACTAGAATCAAATATTTCAATAGCTTTTCTTTTCTATGTATAATTACAAATAATGTATGACATTACTTTTGTTAATTGTTATGTTCATGTGATGAATTTCCTATTTCTCTCTTTTGTTTTTACTTTAACAGGAAAGAAAACTACAAAAGATTTGTTAAGTTTGTTCATTTTAAAAGACAACTAAATAGAAGAACAATCAGCCGAAAACATTAGTAATAGATTTCATTGTATTTAAGGTCAACGAAAAGTATCGTGGTTATATATATATATATATATATATATATATATATATATATATATATATATATATATATATATATATATGTGAATGATCGGTACAATTTAAGGAACTGTTCATCCTTTATGAATACATGACATAAACGTTCAGTTCTCACTAATAAATTATGGTGACATATTTGTAATATATCTTCAGAAAAACAACTTACACTAAGCCACTAGAGAGTCAGAAATTCAGTTTTATACAAATTGGAATACTACAAATATATTATCTTTTTTTTATAATTAACCATCTACCTAATGTTTGATTTATTTAAAACTGTTAAGTCAAACCTTGGTAATGATATTTACAAGTTCAGTACATACATTTCAAAAGTTCCTGAAATCATAGGGGTAGAAAGTAGTTTTAATAATATAAATTGAAAGTATGTTATATCTCAATAAAGTAAATATTTATTTGTAATACTTTCTGAATATGCAGTAGACTGGTGTTTAGAAGTACAACATTCAACTAGGAACAAAATTATGATATTCATTCGCCATAGGTGTACATTAAAACATTTTTTTAAACTCTCGTAAAGTCTCTTATACATGTTAAAATATAAAATAGGTTTTAGGAGACTGAATTGAACTCCGTGAAAAAATCGCAAAATGTTTATATCAAGTTAAATATTAACTAGAACGCAATTTAAAAATTTCATCTGTATATACAATCACAAGTAAAATGTTTTATGATCTTATCAATCATTTTTTAGGGAAAAAAACTAACAATCAATCACTCATCTACATTTATTCTTAATAACACAGATTTTAAGGTATGAAATTACTAACTAAATGGGTTCATTCATGTCCTTTCACTACTTATTATTATTATTACTACTATGCAAATAAGTGGAAGCGTGAACATGTTATTTCCTGTTAGGAAACATCCTTCATTAGATCATATGATATTCAACATGAACAATAATGCTTCATTAAGTTTTTAGTTTGTCAATGAAGCAACAATACAAATATTTTGAAATTTTTTTTTACTGATTGACTGACTAATGATATCAACTGTAGAACCATATGAAATCATACTGCAAATGTTGTTTATACTTCGTGATGTGAGTTGTTAATTAAATTAAATCCATTTCCACAAATATCTTAAATAAATGACTATGTTAAATAAATCACTAACCAATTACAATTTCATGCACTGACTGTGCATCGAGTCAAAAAATTTTGTATGTGAGAAGTACAAATGTATATGTGGTTGCCCAAATTGAGGTAGAAGTATTGAAATTTTAATATGTAACTTAGTGGCTTATTTTCAATTCCTACAATAAAATTAGGCCACTCTTAATATTAATGACCATCACCAGTTATATATACACTGAATTAGTGTCAAAATATTATTTGAAAACAGTATACATTAGTTACTAATGATTAAGGCATTAGACTTTCAATCACTTTGTCACAGTTTCAAACCACATTTTATCTACTTCGGTTTGAGCAACTGATAGTATCATTAGCTCTTATATCTACAGTGTGGCTCATACTAATATACTTAATCAATGAGTCAATTTGCTTTTTACTTTTAAGCTACATTTTAATTGGAAGCATTCAAACAATGAATAAACAAACATCCATCTTCCTTTGCCATTTCTAGTATTACATACTTTTCATAAGTTACTTGAGCCTCATTTGATTGAAGGATCAAATGATGTTATTTTTTCTTTAGTTCTAAATCATGAATCAAAAGGATATTTCATTATATTTTATAGTAATTCTCTAATAAATCACATGCTCAGTAGATATTAATAATCAGTCAAAATATTTAGTGAAAGCGAAAAAAAAGAATCACCATAATCTTTTGACATATTGTGTAATTAGCCCAGGAATTAAACACAGGACAGCATACCGATTTACATAATATAATTAACTATTAATGAATCCTTGTAAATTCGGATTTATATTATATTAATTATAAATTAAGTTAATATATAATTGTCAAACGGAATACTTTAAAGTCAATCAGTTTATAAATAAGCTATTTTTATTAAAGCCACATGATATTTAAATATACACAATTAATAGTTAATCATCACCTTTATTATATTATCTTTAGACAATAATTATTATTATGCTAAACTAATTATACAGTTTAATTAATTTGTAACTATCATATTTCTTTGATAAATTACTATGTAAGCAATAATTAGGACACTAATCTAAATAATAATAAAAAATGTGACTGTTTTCAGTGGTGACCAGTGGAGCTAATCCGTGTCGGTTAGAGACAAGTATCTACCTCAGTACAATGGAAGATAGTCGCGCAAGTTCGTAGATTGATTGAGGTTAGATATTAACACCATTGGATGCCGGTTCAATGGTCCAGTAGGTTGAGCGTTCGCGAACGAGACTGAAGACCCCAGGTTCGAATCCCGCGAGCGGGATCGTGAATGAGCACTTTTGAGGAGTCCCAAAATAGGATGAAACGGCCGTACAGTGCTTCCAGGTTTTCATTGGTGGTCTAACATCAATTGGTTCATGATCTCAATCAAAAACTTAACAATATCTATAACCCCTAAACTGATAAAATAAAAGTGTTTTCTTTTCATGTCATACTAGATTGAGATAATAGTCAAATAAAGAAAAATAAAGTCTACTATTTTTGTTTTGGTCTTATATTTGTAAATGCACACATATTATAGTGTAAGAAGTAATGAGTTAAATCATGACAGTATACCAGAAGTTCAAATAACCTGGTATGGCCGAGATTGGGGAGTATCAGTTCTCTTCGCTTGAAATGCTCACACATGGCCACGAGTATACAGACACTGACAGGGAAATCCTAATCACTGCATTCTCGTGTTGTTTACGAAATTGAAAGGACGGAAAGTGAATGTCCGGTGCTTAAACCAATTTAGTGGATACGAAGAGTCTACCTAGGGGAGTTGAAAAACCTTGATTCCAAAGCAATCATGCATATGCGCTCCAGTATCCTGATGGAAAAAATGTCGTACGAACCAATCGTTGGTCACTGGCTACCATGTTACTGCATCTCCTAACGCTGCTTCACTGCCTAGTTGATCAGACCTTTAGGTTGAAGGCTCCGGATGTGGTCCCCTAATAAAACCACCTGTTTCAGTTTGAACACTCGGGCAGTATCATAGCCCACACACAAATCAAGTAACTTGTTCGTCTCATATGTATTCGGTGCCCCTTTGTTTCAATATTTTAGTGTTCAAATAAATAAATAAATAAATAAACATCAGATAGGAATAGTTCATTATTATCTTTTATTAGTCACATCAATATTTGTTATTCTTAAATGTTTATCATTTATTTATTGTTGATGAATGTTTCCTAACAAAATAATTTGATTGTAACTTTTAATAATGAAATCACAATATCGCATATGACTTGACAATATCAAGCAGTTGTTTAGATGTTAGAGTCATTTGGAAAAGGATATCTAACTTTATATAATCAATGTTACAGTTGGTTATTATTCATCAATAAAAGATATTACCAATTCTAGTTTAAGTTGTTAAAGAAAACAAAAGTGCTAGAAAGTAAACTTTGTTTATTTCATTATTTATGACATTTTCACTAAGCCACATGTAGAAATCAAATTCACAAATATGAAATGACTAATCATTTTGACAAAGTTATATAATTGAATAAAACAGCTATCCTCTAATATATTATATATGTTTGTTGAAGTAATATCATTCAGTGTTAGAGTTTATCCTCAAATTGTTAGCTTTTATACAACTTCGTAATTCATAATGCTACAATCAGAGAATTTGATGAAAGTTTCACGCTAACAGAAACAAAAAGTGTTTAACTAAAGGACTTTTTTAATGAAAAAAGAAACAATCCACATACAGAAGAATGAAAATAAATATACTACTTAAGAACTTACCAAGTATCTTTATCATGATGTACAAGACCTGATAATTGATGTCCAGTAAAACATTCACCTGAAACACCTTGCTTCTTAGTGCGTAATTTGTCTGCAAATATTTGTTGTCCAGTGTTTTCGGGCATACCAGTTGCTTTTAATGTAGGCGTTATTCCGGTTACATTTAACGTATTTTGTTTAATTGTTTGACGTGATATATCGGATATTGGTGTAACGGGGTGAGTAGGTAGTTGTGTCATATTATTATGAAGTTTTTGGTCTAAAACTGATTTCAGTTTGTCAATATCTCTTTCTCGAGCGTTTAAAGTGATTCTTGTTTGACTCAATTCTTGTTCAAGCCATCTTATGTGATCAGTGTATCCTCGAATATCTTGTCGTAATCGTTCAATTAAGTTGAGCAGTTCTTCAGGTTCATAGCTTTTGCCATCTAAAACTAGTGTAAGTCCAGAAGTTTCAGACTGATTTGCTTTAACTGGACTATTAAAATTAACATTAATATTATTCCCAGTTCTAGAAGCAATTGGAAGCATAGATCCAAAAGTTGGCACTGTTGATGAGTGAATATAACCTACAGGATTCGATACTTCTGTCTGTGGAAGTACTGGAGTATTTTGTACAGGTTTCATTGTGACTGAACTTACTGGTTGAGCCATCAATGGTAATTCCTGAGTTTGGGGTTGCTTATTTAAATAGTTAGTGCTTTGATCGATTATACTGTCAACAAAACTTCCAATTGGTTTTTGATTTTGTCTGGGTGTTTTAAAGTTTTTTAACAAGGTTGGTTGATCAAGAGTGATGAATTGACTTGTTTCAAAATCTGTTTTTATAGTCTCAGTTGTGTGCAGAGTTGTACAGGTAGTTAATGGTGGAGAATTTCCACTTAGATTTGTTAATACTGTTGCATCCGATTTCGTACACTTCTTTGCCAAACAATGTTCACACCTATCGGAATATAAATTAGTATTATTATTTGTGTTAACCAAATCTATATTTGGTTGTAGATTGATAGTCACTAGTTGTGGTGAATAATAACGAGTGGCATCGCTGACTGACTGTGATAAATATTCCAATGTATTTGTTGGGTATGGGCTCCATCTTTTTGCTTGTATATTATCAATTTCTTGTTGGCCTAATGTGGCCCTTCTTCGTCTATCTATATTTGACAGTGTTATTGATATTCACGTAGCGATTATTGTTATTTATAACGTTGTACTAGACTAAGTTCAGAAATAGTTGTACACATATATATTTTTATAATTCCTGTGATAATATCTTCTAATTATAATATGACTGATTGACAATAGGGACAATAAGATTCATTTATCAAGATCTCATCACCATTTCTAAGAATATTGGTATATGATAAAAATAGAAAAATCCAGGTTTATAATCAATGATAATTGGCTAACTTGGTTAACATAAGTAACGCACAGATAAATTTATAATTATCTGGAAATATGGTTTGAATTTAAGCAAAAATTCAACTAGTACATTAGTGAACAAACACGTATCTGTTTATGTTTAAGCATGTACATATATACACATGATAATGATAATGATTGTAAACACACAAACAAAGAAAATGAATTCTATTTAATGTTATTGTCTCCAGGTTGTAGATTACTCGACATTTATAATAAATTGATTGATGATTAAAATCAGTTGAAAACTAATAATAACATTGTAATTACAAATAATACAACAACTAAAAAATACACCTCAAAATTTCAGTAGTTACTTTGTAGACCTAAGACAAAACAAAAAAACAAAAATACTTATCATAAAGGTTGGCAAAATATATATATATATATCGTTATAGAAAAACTAACCAACAGGTTAAATATGTCATGTGGAATGACATTCTATTGAATAATATATTCATAGTTATATTCTATCAACCAATAAACAATTTGTAGTGATCTAGACATATAAAAATTTGATAAAAATATGGAAAGATCAATAGAGAATTCAATTGAAATTTTAAATAACCAATAGAAAATAGATTTATGTTTAGTAGATATGCACTTAAACAAATTATATTATTTAATTTTAAAATTATTTTAAATATTTTTCTTTCTTTTAATAATTTAATTTAATGATTCCAGGATATTTGATTATGAATCATATCAATTCTGTTATTAGGGTACAATTTTTTTTTGTCATTTGAACTTTATGTTTCAATTAATTAAAAAGAAAAAAAGGAGAGAATTCAGCGAAGAAAATTTTCTTTGCGACAAAATCATTTACTCAAGCTGTACATTCGCATATATATATATATATAGTTACATATGGAAAATATATGTCTATAGGAGGATAGAAAAGATTGCATCATCAAAAATGGATTCGAGAATGAATAACAAATGAGGTTACGTACTGATCAAGGAGTAAGAAAGAAAATAATTTATGGGTCAGATAATAGTCCAACTGACAGATATGAAGAAATGCTACAAACAAATTTCATATTAATGGACTAAACAATAAACAAGAAAACTTGTATATATTTTATGCACTGCTGAGGTATTGGCAATCCATGAACTCAAACCTGAACTTCAAATTCTTTCGCTGAGATTTTACAAATACATTCTTCCTCTTTAATGTCTCACATTAACTTGGCGCCCAAATATTGTTAAACTATTCGTTCAAATTTAGACAAAAGTTCTTATTTATCTATTTACAGATTGTTATAAATATAACTTTTTTGTCTTTGATTGTCTTTGTGTGCGAACAGTTTGTCCATAAAATACTTATTATATAGAATGTTAACTTTGATCAGTTTATAAATTAAGTGAAAATTGAAGATCCATGATCAGAATAAATATGAATCAGATAGGGTGAAAGAAGTAATAGTGTAATTACGATTCGATTAAATGTTTAATGGAAGACTATATTGTAGACTATATTAGTAAGACGTAATAAGGAGGGATGAGAGACAATTACATTTGACTACGAAAGGTCGTATTATTATTAATATATAGTTGACGTTATAGAATAAATCTGATTACATAACCAATTAAAATCATGTTGTACTGTACAGTTGTTTCTTAAATATAAAACTCCACCAAAGAATGAATTTAGTATATTTAGACAAAGTAGTGAGCGTATTATCTCTAAATTATTAACTTGGTATTCACTGGTTTACATTTCTGACTTCAAACAATTACAATAAATTATATAATAATAGATTTTTATCTCCAGGTATTTATTTTATGCAAATGAATGTACATTTTGAGAAAATGATATTGTTATGAAGGTGATTTTCATTATTGATCGTCGATGTGCACTGCTGAGGACTCCCACAATAGGACAAAACGGCTGTCCAGTTCTTCCACGTTTTCCATGGTGGTCTAGTTTTAGTTGACTCATGATGTCAACTATTGAAATTATAATTAAACACTCAATTATTATATGGCTACTCGAAACTTTATTAATCCGAATAGATTCTGATTTTAATAAAAGAAATAAGGCTAGTCTAATACAATGAATAAATAATCCCAATACAACAATGAACAATTTCTTCTTATAATTCAATAAATTCATGTAAACTTGATGGACTAAATGACTATGCACACATCATATGAATGACCTAGATGTATTTTACAACAGAAAAAAACATATTGGATCAAAGCGCTTTCAAAATTCTCTAAACTAATCACACACATTCATTCGGATTATAATGTATGTAATATCGATATGGTGTATTCATTAATTGAGAAAATACTAGATGATTGTTAGAATAATACAAAATAGCGTGATTTACTTTCAGTAATGAAAATAGATTTGAAGTAATTACCACTATTCCATGGGTTAAGCGCTTAATCCTTATCCAGTAACCAACTATAATAGTAAACAAGAGATGAATTAATTAAGCATGAAATTAAATAATTGACAAAGAGCTCTGATAATGATTTTTAGATTGAATTAGGGACTTATTTTGGATTCAGTAAATTTAACTAATATATACTCACGGCGAGACTATAATTTATGGACGACCTTTCAGCGACGCTAGACTGACCTTGAGAGTGTCCACTTAATAACTAGGACCAAATGTGGATTATCAACCTGTCCGAGGAATTATAATCATGATTTACAGTTTATGGTTAGGGTTATATATTAGATATAGGGTTTTCATCAAGAACTGATATCAGCTATAATGTCAAAACTCTCTTTAGCCAAACGGATGAGTGAATTTCGAGCCAAAATCCGAGACCTGTTATCTTATATGTGATTGGTTCTACCATAAATTATGGTCTTACCTATACCCACTGTATAGTTGTAAAATTACGACTAATATGATAACTTTCTGGGTCGCATTGAATTTAGAATTTATATTATGTGAACTATTCTCGTAGTGGATAGTGATAATTCACAGCTGGATAAACTATAACCAGGTAGGTAAGTCATTTTAGATATATGTGTAGAAGTGTATAGAGTTGACATAATATGAAATGGTTTTAGCAAATATTTAATTAATTATGTTAAATATTGAGTTAAGCTGATTCTCGTTTAGTGTATTCTACTCCGTCTAATCGGTCAATTATATTAGTATTGTCCTTGATTCGAGAGTTAAACTCTGTGCGCAGCTACACTTATCTTATTGATGAAGTGACATTGTTAACCTTGATGATTGCATAAATAAATGTTAGTTTCATTAAAAAAATACTGCATTCTACCATCTTAATAAAAACCAGTTTGGCACTTTGCATGTAGGGTCTGCCTGACATAGTATTTGTTTCCATTCGAGTCATTTAATTAAAGGTTTCTCAACCTCTGCATTAAAGTGACAACAAAGAAATAAACTTATATTTTATTGCAAACAATCACATTTAAATCGAATTTAAAATAATAGAATAGCTTTACAGACACATTTTTGGTAATTTCATTACTTTAGGTGCGAAAAAAGGATTTATTAAAAGTACTTGATACCTTCATCAAGGTTCATTTAAACCTAAAGTTTATGATGGATTCTAAAAAGCAATAGCTATCTTAATTCTTTTTATGAGATAATGAGATGAACTATTGGCAGAAGGGGTTTAGTGGAGGTTGTAGTAATTTCAGTGATCAAGATCATGAATCAGTTGAAGCTAGACCACCATGGAAAACCTGGAAGCACTACATGGCCGTTTCGTCCTATTATGGGACTCCTCAGAAGTGCGCATCCACGACCTTGCCCCCTGCGAGATTCGAACCCAGGACCTACTGGTTTCGCGCGCGAGCACTTTACCACTAGACCACTGAGCCGGCATCCAGCGGTGTTAATGTCTAACTTCAACTAATCCACGAAATTGAGCGACACATCCACCATTGTCTTTAGTGAGTTACTATCCCACAACAAACCTGGTTAAACTCCACTGGTCACTACTTCTCACCGCTGGATGCCGGCTCAGTGGTCTAGTGGTAAAGTGCTCGCGCGCGAAACCAGTAGGTCCTGGGTTCGAATCTCGCAGGGGGCAAGGTCGTGGATGCGCACTTCTGAGGAGTCCCATAATAGGACGAAACGGCCATGTAGTGCTCCCAGGTTTTCCATGGTGGTCTAGCTTCAACTGACTCATGATCTTAATCATTGAGATAAACTATATTTAGCAGTGTCATTCGATGACAGGAATAAATAAACACAACTTTAAATAGTAAGAATAAACAATGCAAAATATTATTAATACAATCAAAATATGTCAATGTCAAGTAATGTCTGGTCAAGGTGAATTTATATGGCCTATCACTGTATTAATCTGCATGTCAGAATGTGGGTATGAAAAAATGTACACATTTGTGATATGAAGTAGTGGGTTGAGATTGATTGACCGTGTGTAAAACTAATAAATAAAGTCAAATGTGGTTGTTCGGACAAACAGTTCAGGTTTGATTAATGTTCAGGCCTTTTTTCCTATTGAGGGAAAAAGAATTTAGTATTATGCGAAACTCTTCGATTACTTGAGCCTCTTTGTAGTTGGAAAAGCTTTTCTGAATTATTTTGATATTTTTAATATTAACTTGGTGATTATTGAAAATAGCATGTGTTGCTGGTTTAACTTGTAAATTATCCAGTTCTACAGGATTGTTAGGTCTTTTTTGGTAGCTTAGGCGTTCCATGGCATGAGTCGAGATCTCACGGGAAGACACTCCTATACAGAATCGACATGACTTAATATGTAGAGACAATTTTGAGTAGAAGTGAACGGAATTTTATCTTTAACTAAAGCGTTTCTTTGAATGTTAGTTATCTTATAGACAGCTTTAATTTTGTTTGTTTTTAATATTCATTGTAATTCTTCTGTCGTACCTTGGCGGTAAGGAAAAACTACAGTACCAATCCAAGAAATTTCATTAGGATTGTTATTTACAAAAGGAAAGTTTTGTTTTGATATGTTTTTAATGTTTTCAAGATAATTATTATTATGTAAGATGTTTATTATATTCTCTTTTCCTTTCAGCTTGTTTTCGGAGGTAACGATCTTGGTTGCTCTTATGAAAAGATTCGGGACTAGGGAAATTTTCGCAATGAATGGATGTGCAGAGTTAAAGTCAATACACTGATATGAATGTGACGGTTGTCAGTATATGGCTAGATCTAGACTTTCATTAGGATTCCTTTTAACTAAACAGTTTAAAAATGGTAGTTCACTATGTCCATCTTCTTTACGAAAGTGAATTTGATATGTTCCGAGAGCGTAATTATGTGTTTAGAGACATTTCTAAGTCTCTTTAATAATAACAAATGTGTCATGGTGCTCCAATTATAGAACTCGTACTCGAAAAACTTGTTCGTGGCTCACGGCTCACCGT